ACTCCACGGCGGGCACTGACGCTGCTATAACAGCAGCCTTGCTGGCCTACTACACCTCCTCACAAGTGGACACTCTGTTGGGAGACTACCGAACCGGAACGGCGCAGGACACGGAGACGACCAGCGCCATCACAGGCGCACTGCTTGCCTACTACACCTCGGCGCAGGTAGACGCGGTGTTGGGAGACTACCGCACGGCGAGCGCGCAGGACACGCAGACGCAGGCCGCCATCGCGGGCGCGCTGCTGGCCTACCGGACGGGCCCGGACCAGGATGTTTTCACAACCAACCAAATCACCTCCGCGCTGGTGGCGTACCGCTCAGCCGCCGACCAGGACACGAACCCGTTGGTTTCCCCAAACCCAAGGAGCTGAGCAGGCTCCGGGAATTCCCCCCCAGAAACCCTTTGAGCATGAGGTCCGGAGGGCAAATCTTCGCCATGTCGTCCAAGTTGTGGTGGAGTTTCGCCAGGTCCTGCACCGTGATGATCCTGAACGTCTCCGCAGGCACCTTCACGTCGTTGTAGCGACATTTGATGGTGGCTGGCAAGTCGGGCGACAGACCAAGGAGAGAGATCGTCCAGGAGCAAAGGCCTCTCGTCACGCAGGAGGTTGCGCTCGACCGCGGATCGCAGCATGTCCGGGCTGGACACCATGACGAACTCGTCCAGACCCACGTCGCGGGCTACCATGGCTGCCAGGCAACTTGCCAGGGGAGTTTTCCCCTTGCCGCTGTCTCCGTAGAAGATCAAGGTCCTTCGCTCGTCGCGAGCTCGCCCGTAGGCCAGTGGCTGCTTCTGGTGGACCTCGCGGTTGTACCACCAGGAGTTCACGGTGCTCTCGTTGATGACGAAGTCGGTCATCAGAAGTTGGCGATGGCGCGACACCAGCAGGCTCTCCACTTGCAACTGGTTGTCCTGGAGTTGCTTGCGGAGCTGCAAGAGGGCCCTGCTCTGCAAGTGCACGAACTCGTCCTCAGTGTTCGGCGGGCGCTTGCCGGTGTTCAAGGCCTTGTCGCCTCGGAAGGTCGTGTCGAGCTTGATGAGATGGCTCTGGAACTCGGACGTCGTCATAGAGAACTCTGGCGCCGGAGGTGCGTTTGCTGCAACAAGGCCGTCGTAGTCGCCCCGACTCATGGCCCGCATGGTCCCCTTCTGCTCCAAGCAATTGGCCATCAGCTTCACGACATCGTGAAGCTTCCCCTTGCCAAGCTTGTAGAGGTGGGTGGACGCCGGAGGATGGGGCAGCAGCTTCATGGTGGGCTTGTTTGCCCCTCTTTCGGGTCGAAGCATGACGTGGTGGCCGACGTCAGGAGGCTGAGCTTGGCCCACGAGGCGCCACGCCATCCAAGCGCAACCTTTGCCCTGGTACTTGTCGTCCCCACCCTGTAAAGGCACTCCAGCAGTTCTGCTTCGGACACACCCGGGCCTGTCGGCTCCGGCTTCTCCGGCTCGCTCTCCGGCTGGTCGCTCGCCTTCCTCTTCACGCTCAGGTAAATGGGCTGGCGCGGAGACTGAGGCTTCACGGGGCGGCTGCGCGGCGCTCCAACCACTCCGCCAGGCGATGCTCCAATTCCGTCGCCGGGTAGTCTTCACCCACGGGCTCCTGGCCGGCCTTGACGAGTTCTTCAAAGATGGGCAGAGCCTGCTTGCAGCCGATGCTGTCGTAGGACAGTGTCTCCCGCATGCCGTCCAGGGTCTCGAGCACGCAAGTCCCCATTCTCACGGAGTGCGGAAGGACGGTAGACAGCACCAGGTTCGCTGCCGCCTCGCGCGCCTCGCGCTCGCACTCGGAGCGAGTCGCCATCGCAGAGCTTTGTGAATGCTTCTCGAGCAAATAGTGGCTTGTTGAAAGCCAGCTGTGTTTAAACCCTACAGGCACCAGCCCGCCCGCCGCGAAAACGCTCTGACGGCCTGATAACCCGGCGCCGGGCCTTGGCCACCACGCAGTGCTCAAACCCAGGACCGCGTCGTGGATGGGACGGTAGGTGCCGTTGCTCAGCAGCCTCCGGGCGTAGACGAAGTCCCACACCATGCCCCCCTCGTAGGCGAAGGCCTGCCCAATAGACCAGATTAGTCAGAAAACTAGGAATTACCTAATTTAGAGAATTAGATCTAATTCTATAAATTAGATAGATTTTTTTGTGGTGGAAAATAGTTTATTTTTTTAAACTATTTAGTCTCGTTGTTGCGCCGAAAAAATAGTATATTTAGACTATTTGGCCCGGCGCGATTCTAACTAATAGTCTATTTTTTTGGTCCCAAAAACACACACGATTTTCTAACTAATAGTTTAGACTATTTTCTGACTATTAGTTAGAATGTGCCGGGGACAAACTTCGACCAAACTGCGACCAAACTGCGACCAAACTGCGACCCCTCATGTTTGACGACCAAACTGCGACCAAACTGCGACCCCTCATGTTTGACATGTGACAATATTTTCATGTGAGCGCATTTGCGCGCAGATACGCTTGTGTGAGGGTATAACTCCCATGCGCCGTTTCGGCAGCGCTAGGCCATGAGATTTTCGTCTCGCATTGTTAACAAAGGCGCCTCTCTCGAAGCAAACCCTTCAAGATGCATCTCTCAAGGTGTGTCTCTCAAGGTGATCCCCTAAAACCTCTTAGATCTTCTGCGAAAAGTATTTGCGATGACCCCTTTGGCGGGCTCCTCGTGTTTTCTTGTCTGTTGCATGAAAGACAGCTTGATGGCGCGCCTTTTTTTGCACACACAGTACGCGAGCGCAAAGTGCTTTGGGGTGTGAGAAAGACAGAGAGCAACGCCTTCATCCGTGACGTTTCTTGAACAAGAAATGCAATCCGAGGCGGTAGTGGCGGGCCATTTTCAAATTGGTTTGGCCCGGGGTGTTGCCCCTGGTGCAGCTCTGCGCCACTTGTTGCATCTTTTGCATCATGTCTTCCCCACAAAACACCCAAATGAGCCGAGGGTTGATGTGACGAGCAAGGATGGCGAGCTCTTGCAGCATGTGACATTTCGAAGTCACGTCGAAATAGGCAATACCTTCTTCCAAGAAATGTTCAGCAACTTGGGTTTGCAATTGGAGCATTGTCGTGCATGTGTTTTCGAAGTCCTCAGCAGGCCCAGGGGGGAACGCGAAGTCGTCTTTGTACTCTGTGATCATGTTCTCCAGCCGGCAGTTTAACTGCAGCATCAAGTTGATCCGGCGATGAAGAATCAAATGAGGGTTCATGTGAGCATTCCATAAAGCGTGCAAAGCTGCCCCGAAGTGCCTGACCTCGGCAGCTTTGCCCCGCAATTTGGGGAAGCGGCCGCCTTGCCTCACAAACATAGAGAGACGGTTCAAATATCGAAAAGGCGATGGGGTGCCATGGTCCTTGAAAAACTGTTTCAAGAACGTCCAGCACTGTGAGAGATTCTCTTCGGGCTCGTTCGCCATGACCGTATGGCACAGAAAAGCTAAGACAGATCCGTATTGAATGGAGGCGATAATTACATGTCAGGTGCCGAGGTATTGACGTGCATCCAATCAGCGACTGTGCCAGCAGGAGGAACCTGGATCAGGACAGCAAGACGGGCTCACGATAGGAATGCCTCTTCCCAAGCACTCCACGCGCTAGGAGTCCGACTTGGGTGGCCCTCGCAGCTTGCAGTATCCCGAAAATCTGTCATGTGTCATCGCGCCGCCTTTTTGCATAGACAATGCAGCACGGCCCTGCCGATAGAAGAGTAGTTTGAAGGCCCAATAAATCCTCTTCCCCCTAATAATAAACGACGCCCCCCCCCCCCCTCCCCCCCCCCTAATAAAAAAAAATACCCGGCCTGCAAAACAATTTTTATTGTTGGGGGTCCCCTGGTTCTGGAGGGCAGGTTTTGGAGGTACTTCTTGTTCTGTGTAGGCTTGACCTTGACCACCAGCCTCTGTAGCTAATTAGTTAATTGGCACAGCCTGCCGGTCTCAAAGAAAACATACTCCCGGAGCTCTGGCTCGAAAGTCGCAACTTTGTAGTACAACCGTAGTAAAGGAAACGTGCTGTGCTCCCGGAGCTCTGGCTTGAAAGTCGCAACTTTGTAGTACAGCCGTGTAAAAGGAAACGTGCTCCCGGAGCTCAGGCTCGAAAGTCGCAACTTTGTAGTACAGCCGTAGTAAAGGAAACGTGCTCCCGGAGCTCTGGCTCGAAAGTCGCAACTTTGTAGTACAGCCGTAGTAAAGGAAACGTGCTCCCGGAGCTCTGGCTCCAAAGTCGCAACTTTGTAGTACAGCCGTAGTAAAGGAAACGTGCTCCCGGAGCTCTGGCTCGAAAGTCGCAACTTTGTAGTACAACCGTAGTAAAGGAAACGTGCTCCCAGAGCTCTGGCTTGAAAGTCGCGACTTTGTAGTACAGCCGTAGTAAAGGAAACGTACTCCCGGAGCTCTGGCTCGAAAGTCGCAACTTTGTAGTACAACCGTAGTAAAGGAAACGTGCTCCCGGAGCTCTGGCTTGAAAGTCGCGACTTGTAGTACAGCCGTAGTAAAGGAAACGTGCTCCCGGAGCTCTGGCTCGAAAGTCGCAACTTTGTAGTACAGCCGTAGTAAAGGAAACGTGCTCCCGGAGCTCTGGCTCGAAAGTCGCAACTTTGTAGTACAGCCGTAGTAAAGGAAACGTGCCCCCGGGGTCCCCCTAATGGGGCTGGATTTGAGTACGGGCAGGAAATATCTACTTTAGAATTGGTTTAGTATTGGCTATTCTAAAAGTAGTATTCCCGGATTTGGGACTTCCGAAACAAATATTTATTATTAGGGAGACCTTTATTAATAGGGGGAACGGATTATTTTAGTGTAATAATCCAGGTCCCCTGTGAGGGCAAACAATACTCCCCGATATCCTCCAGCTAGCCACTTTCCCGCCAGCCTGTGCCCTTCACTTCCAGCAACATACCTGCGGCGGCCGTCAAAGTTGTTGCGGGGGGCGCAGCTTGTTGTATTTGCACGCTTTTGTTCCTATTTTGGTGTGGGTGCCACGCATGCGACAAAAATGCATTAAATAAGAACAAAAAAACAAAACCACGCCCAATGATTTTTGTGGTGGCCGAGATGCCTCTTCCCCTGGAAGTCGGCGCTTGGCCATTTCCCTTCCATCAAACACAGGAAGGACCATCGTAGCACTGTAAAGAAAACGCCTCTGGTTCCTTCAGAGACGGAGCCTTTGCTCATGCGGTCATACATGCTCCAGACCCAGAATAAGATTTCTTTGGTCTGCCCTTGCCCTATCAACGAATACCACGAAAACATGGTCATAACTTTGGACCACCCTTTGCCAAGACCGACCACCGGCACGCCGTCTCCATGGACGGCGAGCGGCGCAACCTTGGACTTGTAATCGGCAACGTCCCGGATGGGGTGGCTCTCCATCTGTGGATGAGAATCCACTGCGCTCCAAAATCGTTGCAGGGTTTGCTCATCAGGAAGAACAGACAATCGCCAAGTTTCTGGGTAGTCCCGCCACAAAGACGCGAAGAGCTGGTGTGGCAAGAGCATTCCCTGCAGCGACTCGCCGAAAGGCAGGGCGAAGGGAACTCGAACTCGAAATGGCTCTGGTAGTTGGCTCAAGTGCTCGACTTTGTTCATCAGGTCAGCATGGCACTTGTTTTTGTACGCGCCGTTGGTGCCTATGCCAGCAAGGACGCGCAAGTCTCCAAGGACTTGGCCATTTTCTATAGAGGCTTCCAGGTCTCGAACAGCCAGGGCAGCAATTTCTTGGATCAGTTGGGGAGACATAGCCCCCCAAGCAAAAAGTTGTTCCAGGAGGAGCGCGGCAAGCTGGCTTTCATTGGTGAAATTGCCTGCCTGTTCGTTGGCGGTGGCTTTGGCCATGCGCTGCCTGATTCCCCCAATCTTTCTGCGCTTAGGTAAGCGATCCATGGCGCGGCTGGGTGAAAGTGTGAAGCAAGTTTTGTTTATATGTTCAAACAATGCTCAGCGTGGTAAAGTCAGCGTTTTCTGCTCAATTGACAAACCCATGCAACAATTGACAAATCCTGCTCCTTTCCGCTCAAAGGTTACCTTTGTGTGTGTATATGAAGAACTTTGTGCGCCTGGGGCGGCGCAGTGTTCTACGCAACATCAAGGAAACAGCATATGTCTCTCAGGGTGTCTCTCAGGGTATCTCTCAGGGTGTCTCTCAAGGTGTGCGCAGCTACCAAGCGTTTGTCTCTCAAAAGGGCCACAGCGCGTGTGCATCTCAAGGCTCAGCAATGTTTTGCGCCGCATTCACGGGTGTGCCTGAAGTATATTCTTGCGCTTATAGCTGCTGTGGCCAGGTGGAGCCCCGTAAGGTGCTTCAAAAACACAAAAACGGAAGCAGTGGCCTCAGTTGCGCCTTGCCTTGAGGATGCCCTTGACGCTTTCGATCTCCCTGTTGTACTTGTCAACGTCCCGGGCAATGTCAAGCAAGAAGTTGTCCAAGGCGCCTTTGGTGAGTGGGCCATCGGAGTTCGGGAGTTCCTTCCAAGTCTTGACGTGTTCAATCTGGCTCTGGTGCTTGGTCAGGTCGGCGTAGGCAGCCTTGAGGGCTCCCTCCTTCTCCGCCAAGCCCCTTTCCTTGGAAAGCTTCAAGCCCTCTTTCAGCAACTTGTCGCACGCCGTGGCTGCCTTGCCCAGCGTCTTGAGGAACCCATCAGGCAGATGAGCATCCTGTTCAAGCCGAGTCTGATCAGCCTTAGCCCACAAGTCTTGCAGCGCTGGTGGGGACACAGTTGTTGCAGCTTTACTTCTCCAAAGGAATGTCCAGAGTAAGAATAAACTGGAAAAGGGCGAATGGATGCTAGCTTTGCAATGTTTATCCCCCATCCAGTTGTTTCAGGAAACTGTTTCTCTCAAGGTACCCACAACCAACGTAAACCATTCATTTTCCTTGTGAGAGCGTTGCCTTGAGAGCACAAAGACTCACCTTGAGAGCGACCACACACTTTGAGAGAAACAATAAACTGTGAGAGCCAAAACACGTTCAGAGCAATGCGACTTTGAGAGTGATTGAGGGGGGCCACCCTGGGGTCATTTGATAAGCGAAGCGACATCCGGCAGCACCCACACAGAAACCCTGAGAGTGACAAATAGTGACAAAAGGCAAGCCCCGAGAGCAACGCCCGGACCCGGCCTTCTTGCAGACCCACTCCCACTTCATCTTCGACATGAGTCCCGCCAACGTGTGGGCCTCCTGGCTTTTGAGCTTCTTGGACCCCTCAACTGTTTCACCACGTTCGTTGGTCTTGACCTCCACGGTCTGCAGCTCACGGAAGCTTAGGTACTCCATACCCGCATCGTCCTTGTGCGACTGCAACTCGCCCTTAGCAAGGCTAGCCTCCATGGCCCTGGAGTCGCCATGGAAAACGGAAGCCAACATGATCCCCCGCGGCATTCCCTTCTTCTTGTCCTTGGCGACGTGTTGGACGTAGATCTTCTGGTACTCTTTGAAATGGTGAGACTCCGTGTTCATCTTGTAGGATCCATCAGTTTGCTTGTTGAACAGTCCATTGATCAGATTCGTTTGGAACTGCCGTTGGCTCTGCGCTTTCTTGGACTCGATTTGCCACATGTGAACCACAGCTAGCGGCAATGCCCCAGCCTTCATTAATTTGCCGAATTTCTCGGCCTTTCCTTTGTCGCGCAATTGGTTATCTTCCTCATCATCCTTGGACGAAGCCGCCATCTTGATGTCATCCACCATGGCATTGATGGTCAGCTTGTTCGCAGCTGGCTTTTTCGTGGGCGCACCAGACGTAGCCTCGCTGGCCGCAGGCCTCTTCATAGCTGGCATGGCCAAGCGGGGAATTGGCAATGTGCTGTTTCTTGCACAGCGGCTGGATGCTGACCAAGGCAGGCGGAGGCAAAGCAACTCCATGTGTTAGTCCTTGAGACCACCCTAAAAGCCCTATGTTGTGCAAACATGTGCATGTGTAGTTTGCGGTTTGTGCATGGACATGAGATCCATGGAACCGCATGACGCAGGCGCTTTTGTGGCACAAACAGGTGCGATTCACGTTGTGTGATTTGTTTTCTGGTAGCGGAGCCTCGCAAGGTCGAGGTTCCTTTGGCGCCATAGCCCTTTTCCGTGTATAACTGGTTTTGCAAGACCTTGAGGGGTCAGACACCTACCTTGCGGGGTTACAGCAGATAGCAGGTGCTTGCGGGTATTTGCAGTGGTCAGCGCCGCCTTGCAGAGATGGCGGAACAGGCATTGGCACAGGCCTTACAGAGTTTGTCACAGGTGTTGACGGACATGCAGTCACGACCACAGACGGATGACGCATCGCGGTATATCCAGAAACCAGAAGTATGGAAACCAGCAAACATGGAGGAGGAGCTGAATGGATGGCCGGAGTGGAGTTTTCTCTTTCGTGCCTTCGTGGAGTGTAGCGTGCCGCAGTACAACGTCGATCTAAACCGGATCGAAGCCGATTTGAATGCAGTTCTGGAATTCAGTGATTATTCCACACCAGTTCAGGAACGAGCCCAACGTTTGTATACCATTTTGAGCAGCTATGTGAAAGGTCGCCCTTTGAGGATCATTCGGACTGTTCCCGATAAAGATGGTTTTCAGGCTTGGCAATTGTTGTGCAAGGAGTACCAGCCGACGACGCGTGCTCGATCTCTTGCTATGGCTCAAGCCATTTTGAATTATCCTCAGTTTGAGCGTGGACGCCATTTGGACGGTCTACTTGGTTTGGAACGCCTTATTGAAGACTTTGAGAAGATTTCCAAAACCACGTATCCAGATGAGCTTAAGATTTCAAATGTTTTGCGTTGCCTTCCCAACCATTTGCGTCAACATCTGCAGCTCAATTTGCAGGATTCCACTACTTACTCTCAACTTCGTGCTGGAATTTTGAGTTATGAACAGACAGTTGCCGCGTGGACCCCAAATCGTGTCTTGCAGCAAATTCAGGGTACAACTAGCCAGACGGAACCGACTGCAGGACCGATGGACATCGACCGCATTCAGGATCAGATCAACCGATTGCAGCAACTGAAAGGGAGCTACAAAGGAAAAGGAAAAGGTAAGGGAGAGCAAAAAGGCAAGAACAAAGGAAAGGGCAAAGGTGACAACAAGGGCAAGGGCAAAGGAGACCACAGAGGAAAAGGAAAGGGTAGCAGTTCAAAAGGAGGAAAGGGCAAACATGACCAACCCCGGAAAGTTGGTCCTTGCTATGTGTGTGGTAAGCCAGGACACATTGCAGCAGATTGCTGGTCAAAGGATAAGGTTCGCGCAGTTTTGGATGACCCCACACCGGAAGCCGCTTCTGCAACAGGGTCGTCCAGCGTGCCCCCTTCCACTGCACCTACGACAGGTTCGAACAGCACGTATAGGAGCCCACATGTGCGACGCATCCAACAGACGCCCATTTTTCGGATGGAGACACCACCTGACATGGCAACTTGCAGAATTTTTGATTTGACTGATGGTGAGGAGTTGGAATGGCTCGATGATTTGCATGGAGTCAGCATTCGTCATGTGTTCACGGATGAGAAGCCAGAGCCAACAGCATCCATGGAGCAAGAACTTCAAGAGCAGATTTCTTTTGCACTTTTTGACATGACTCTTTCAGACAACGACCAGAACTGGACACACATGTCAGGTAACCCGTTCCCATGGCAGTGTTTCGATGCTCCAGATGGTTTGCAGGAATGGTATACTTCTTCAGATGCGCTCGGTATGCCTTTTCTACATGAGTTACATTCAGGCTTTTCCTTTCTGGATGATATACCGGAGCACTTTGTGGACACGGATATGCCTTGGTTCGCCCGAGCCTCATCATCCAGCCATGCCAGTTTCTTGAACTCCTTGGAAGCCGTGTTGCCATTTTCGCAAGAAGCAAATGTTTGTGCAGTGCGAGAAGAGATTCATGAAGGCATCTTGGATCTTGGTGCAGACCTGTCAGTTTTGCCCATGAACTTCCGCGACCATGGAGAGGTTGTGCCAAATTCGTCGACATCCATCCGGGATGCTCAAGGACGAATCATTCCAACAGTTGGAAGCCGCATTCGCATGAGTGTTTGGGTTGAGTCCACAACTGGAGACATGGTGCAATTCACGGACAATTTTGTGGTAGCCCGTGTCACGCAGCCCCTGTTTTGCCTTGGGAAACTCTTGAGACAAGGATGGAAGCTGCATGGAGAATCCAGTGAACAATTTCTTGTGCGTGGAGATGTTCAGATTCCTTTGGTGTGGCGTCGCAATGCTCTTGCGATGAAGTTTTGGGTGGATGAACCTTCTATTCGGTATGTGGTTGCCGTGAGTGACAGCTTGGCACAAGCAATCAAAACGCCTGGCTGGAAGTGTTTGCCGGATGGCACGCCGTGCCATGTGAGCTTCGAGGCCCGTCGGTTCATGGACCCTTCAGTTACGTTTCCCATTGCAGACTTTCCTTACCGAAGCACTTTGGTGATGGATGGCCAGTTAGAACTCTGGGAATGCAGTGAAGAATATGGAATTCGCAAAGACAAGGAGGAGAGCTTGGAATTATCAGGAACTCGCTTGGTTGTGACCTTAGTGCATTCAGCTATGGTGGATTTGCTTGAGTATTTTGGCCCTGATTTGAGTGCAAAGTCGGATGAGCCGATGGAATCTGCCGGACCGTTGTTTGATCCTGAACCCAAAGGAGTTGTGCAGACTCCCCCTTTGGTGGCAGCTCCAAATCTGCCGGAGGAGAAGCAGCAGTACGTGGTAGATGAAGGGAAAACCAAGTGGGTTAGGTATGACCAAGGTTTGAGGCAAGCGCCCAACACAGCAGTTGGAGGTCCTATGTGGGCCACAGTTTATAGACGAGTTGTGCGTGACATGCAAACTGGGAACGTTGTGGCAGATCAGGAAACTCGTGGCAAGAGTGTTCAGGAATGCATTTTTCAGCTGGACCCGCATGTCAAGGCCACAGAGACCACTTTCTTCTATGATGTTCTTGCAGAACCTGCCGCGGACCCAGAATTTCGGCTTGAGAGAAATGAGCATGACGCTGTTTCAGTGCTCGTGGATGGACAGGCCATGACAGCAGAGACCCCTTTGCGTGAGTTGAGGCAAGCGTGCAGACGTTTGGGTCTTCCGCAATCAGGGAACAAAAGCCAGTGCTTTCACCGCATTGTGTCGCATTTGGAAGAAGGTCACAGGAAAATTTCAGTGGAGTTGGCGCATCAGGCTTGGCAGAGTTCTCATAGAGAGCCTGTGGCGCAACCATTGCCGCGCCCCCCGTCTCAGGCAGAGCGCTTGGCTCACGAGGTGAACCATATTCCTTTTGCTGAGTGGTGTGAACAATGTGTGGCCAATCGCTCACGTGAGGATGCTCCTTACCGCCTACGTGCCCTACCTTTTCTTTGGATTACATGTACACAGGCACGGCCAAGGCAGACAAGAATCAGATGTGTTTGCATTTGGTGGGAGTTGACAGTTGGAGCAAAATGGTTATGTGCTTACCTGTCCCCCGGAAGGGAACTGTTTCTTTGAAGATGGCCGTTTCAGAAGTGCTGAAGCATGTGAGCCAGTGTGCAGAAGTGATTTTCAAAGCAGACACTGAGCCGCCGACGAAGCAGCTTGTGCGGACCTTGGTGGAAGTGCGCAGCAAGATGGGATTTCAGAGCAAAGTGGAGTGGGTGCCACCAGACAGGCACCAAGCCAACCCTGCAGAACGTGCAATTCAAACAGTGCGGAGGTTAGGCAACACGCTCCTGGCCACCATCACGGATCGTGTTGGTCTAGAGCTCACTGCAGATCATCCCATTTTTGCTTGGGCTTATAGGCATAGCGCGTGGCTCTTGAACCGCTATGCAGTGCCGAAGGAAGAACCCCGTTTGAAATTGCCTATGGTCGCCCTTACACCGGGAAGATTGCCCCATTTGGCTCTACGGTATTTGGTCAAGCCCTTCCAATGTCGAAGGTCAAGGGTTTGCCCCCATGGACGAAAGCCATTTATTTGGGTCGCCAACATGAGTCAGACCTGTGCATCCTGGCCAACTCTGGCGGAGTATTTCAGTGCAGGTCCATTCGCAGATGTGCAGAGGAGTGGCACGATGGTTTGGAGTATGAAGGGTGTGCCGTGGAACTGGACTGATGGTGTCGCGCACCTAGGGCCGAAGCCAGTGAGAGAGCCCCGGATTCCTTCTTTGGCCCCGATTGCCGAAGGGACCAAAGAAATTCTTGATGAGTCTCAGCCACTGTCGAAGTTGGTGGAAGCAGACCCGAGTAGCTCAAGCTCCTCAGGCAGTTCAGAGAAGCCGGAATCAGAAGCAGCTTCAGACCCTCCTTCTGCCAATGCGGGCGAGGTCGCACCTCGCGCTACAAGCATGGAGGATGAGGAGAAGATTCACAAGTCGCTGCACACGCCCCCTCAGGGCTCAGAGAGACCGAAGACCAAGGCGAAGCCTTCGCCTGAGAAGAGCATGGCTTCTCAAGAAGACCCGGTCCAACTCCGTATGGTTCAGATCAGTGAGTCTGAATATGTGGAGGTGGATGAGCATGAACCGGATGAAGTACCAGAAACTTCATATGTGGAGTTGCCAGACTTTGATGCAACTGCAGGAGAACCACCAGCCTTGGAGGACTACGAGTTGGAGCAGCTAGATTTGCACGCAGACGGAGTGGAGGTGGAACGACTCTTGGAGAAGAAGGTTTTGTTGCCGCTGAATGGAAAGCCAGACGACATGACCCCCTTGCAGACTCGCCATGTCAGAGATTGGAGGTGGAGACAAAACCAATGGATCAGGAGGTCCAGATTAGTAGCAAAGGAATTTGCTTTTCTGGATCCAACTCGGCCGTTTTTGTATGCTCCT